GTGGTCAAAAAATTACCAAAAACATCCAAAAAATTCTTCTCGTCACCCTAAACACAGATCTGGGCTTGGTTTCTCCCGAAAGTAGCTCAAACAACCTAGATCGACCTTCAAAGTTTCGACTGAAAAAACTTTTCTTTTGTTTGTGTGATTTCTGGTTTGTTTTTGTTGTGTATTTTTTATAGGTATATTTTAGAGCTGGGTTCCTCATTCCAAGGGACTGTTTTTGTTTTTTTTTTTGTTTCTGCAAAATTTTTTTTTGACAAAAGTTTTTCTTTTTTTTTTTGTCATTTTTTTTATTCTGCCCTCCTTTCTCCGTTTGCAAATAATAAGCTCTATTTATAGAGCTTGTTGGGATTCAAATCCTAGATCTTCTGGGATTCGAATCCCATTTTTCAACTGAAAAATCACACCTACCGTTCATGATTGACGGCTTGTCGGTCGACCGTTGACGGCTAACGGCAGTGATTTTGGACTTTAAGGATTGTGCATTTAATGCACTAGATTTGAATCGGATAAGGATGAAGAAGAAGGAAAAAAAAAAAAAAGAAGATGAAGACAAATGCAGAAAATGAGAAAAAGAAAAAGAAAAAGAAAATTAAATAATAATAATAATAATAAATAAATAAATAAATAATGGTGTTTACACCTCTTAATGTTATTAGCAATTTCTATTGTCCTATTCATCTTCAAGTAATATAAGGCTAATTATGGTGCTTAACCTTAAATTGAGCACAAACCTTTAACATCTTGTTATTCAAATTATGAGTGTTATTAGAGATAATTATTTTTTGAAGGCCATAACGATATATTATCTCTTTTTTTTTTTATAAATCTGTGTAATTTTGCTTTCATCACATTAGCATAAAAAGTTGTTTCCACCAAATTTGTGAAGTAGTGGATCATTATAAAGATAAATCGATGATCATTTGAAGCTTTTGGAGTAATAGATCTAATCACATCCATCTCCCACATAAAAAGTGATCTTAAAGGTGCCAAAACATGTAAATGAATGAAAGGGGCATGAATCTTATATAGATAAATCTGACATTTATAATATTTTTTTGGCATAGTTAATGCAATCACTCTTTATTGTCAACTAATAATAGTGTGCTCTCATGATTTGTTTAGCCATTATGTGAGCATTTTCATGTGCTCTACAATTTCCCTTATGCATCTTTTTAAGTATTTTCTTTGCTTCAACAGTGCTCATGCATCTCAACAACATTTCATTTTGACTTCTTTTATATAAAATTTCTCCACCAAGAAATAATGCCATAAGTAGTCTTCTGATAATTCATTTGTCATTTTTTTGCATGTGTTCTGAGTATTGTTGGTACTTAACATATTGCATGATTTCATAATACCAAGGCAAACCATCAATTTCATGAACATAAAAGGAAAAGGAAGAGGAAAGAAGATATGAAGAAGAGATTTGAGAACCATTTACCACAATTAGAGATACATGATATTGAATTTTGTATTACATTCATTGCATTCATTCTAGTCACTACATTCATACATCATGAAAATAACATTACATTCATTCACTGCATTCATTACTTTCATTACACCTATGCATTGCAAGAAAAAGTAAAGTTTGAGCTTTGGAATTAAGTTTGGCAAATTTTGAAAAATCTTTTCATTCGTTGTATATGCTTGAAAAATAGGAAGAAGAAAATAAATAAGACATTAATCATGATCCAAACGAGGTGCTAAGACTCATTTTAAAATAAGAATTTTAAAATTTCAAGTCTCAGTTGTGAAGAAGTATTTTATTTAAAATTTAAAGTCTTGATTATGGAAAGCATTTTATTTAAAGTTTTAAACCTTAATTATGATGGAACATTTTATTTAAAGTTTTAATCCCTCAATTAAAGGATTATTTTATTTTAAAGTTTCAAAAAACTTTGTTGAGAAAGAATTTTTGCGATTTTCTTTTTTGATTTTTCTATACCCCAACAAAATGAGTATATTTTATCTTTGTACAATTCCTTTTTTACAAAAAAATACACAAATAAAAATAATTGTAGATACCTTATTTTATCTGAAGATTTTTTTGAAATTCATTTGGTTTTGAATTTTGATTTGATTATGCAATTGAGCTTTAATACAAAAAATGAATGTTGGGTCCAAGGATTAAAAGCCCAAAAATTTTAATTTTAATTTTGCTTATTTTTGTGAGTTAAAGTCGATGGGTAAAAAAAAAAAAAATCAAAAAACAAAAATAAAAAGACAAAAAAAAAAAAAAAGGGAATTGGTAGAAAATTTTGGATCTAGTTTCCAATTCAATCTAGGATTCCATATTTGGATACTAAAATTTATTGATTAAATGCCTATGAAAGTTCTTAAACATCAATTCATTGAAAACTAGGAAAATTACATAAAATTGAATCTTGGAGATTTTTCTTAAATCTAGTGAAATTAAAGTTTTTCGAATTGAATTGGGATTTTACTCCTATAAAAGGCTCTCGATCTGTGATCATAATGGGGAATTAACAAGGACGCAAGAAGCAATCAAGCATCAACCAAGAAGCAATCCAGCAGCAATCAAAGAAGCAATCACGATACATCAATCAAGCCAGACTAATTAACAAGTTGATACTCATGCAATCAATAGCAGCACCAAGCAGCAAGAAGCAATTAAGAGAAATTCCAATAAAAAAGAATTTGGTTTTCAAATTCAATTCTCCGACCAGGTAGCAACATCAAGATTAAACAAAGGTAAAGGATCAAAAAAGCAAATAGAGCAATTTAACACAGAACAATCAACAGAGAAAGCAAGAAACACAATCCACAGTTAACACACACATAACCAAGAACAAAGGCAAGCAATTATCTAGAAAAAACCACCCAACCTCAAACCATTCCCCAATTGAAACCACATAAAAGAAAGCAAAAAAATCTTGATTCATTAGCAAACCCAGAAAAACCAATTGACGCAGAAATATCTGAATCCACCCTAAATTAGCCACACCCAATAAACCCACAAAGCAACCACAATCCACAATATACACCATCATTAGAAATAGCAACCATCAAACACAAACAGTAAAGAGGGAAAAGGAATTTTAGGGCAAGGAATTGTTCTTTGAGGTTTTGATTTGGGTTTTGTTTTCCGGGTTTTGTCAGGTGAAAGGAAGCTTTTATCATTTTGGATGGTCTTGGTGAAAGGTAGCGGCGTAGACAATGGTGATAGGTGGGCTATAAAATCAACGGTGCACTCGTAGCACTTGTAGGATTCTGGGTTGCATGATGGCTGGTTGATCTCTGGAATTTTGATTCTGAGGTTTTTTTTTTAAAGAATTTGAAGAGAAGATTAAAGGGCAAAAAAAGGCGTTGTTGGATGAGTAAGGTTTCTGGCTTTAAGCCGACAGTGATTGAGTGGTGGAGGTAATGACGAGCTCGTCGGATTATGGAGAGGATTATCGATTACTAGGTTTTGGTTTTTGTTTGTTTGAAGCTGCTAGAGAAAAGAAAGAGAAACCAATGATAAAGGGAAGATTTTTTTTTTTTTTTTTGGCTTAAAAAAAGCCTTGCTAAAACATTGTCGTTTGGGATTTACGCTGACTCGCTTAGCACAGTGACCCGACCTGACCCGTGTAGGTTTTAAATTTTAAATTTTTTATTTTTGTCTTGTTATTTATATTTTAATTGTGATTGATTAAAAAGCGATGATGAAAGGAAAAAGGAAAAATTTTTGATAAAATTTTTAGTTTTATTTGCATTTTTTGTTTTGCATGATATTTATATAGTATTTTTTGTATGAATAATTATAAAATATATTTGCATGATATTATTTTTTGCATGACTTTAATTTAATTACATATTTTTGTATGAATGATTATTTGCATGATTATTTATTATTTACGTGATTATTTATATATTTATTTGTATAATCGCATGATTGTTAACTAATTGCATAATTGTTATATATTTGCATGATTTTTAATATATTGCATGATTTTATATTTATTACATAATATTTTTGTATGATATTTTATTATTGCATGATGTTGATATTTGCATGATTTATTGCATGATGAATTTAATTTATTACATGATTTTTTGTATGAATTTTTTATTGGGGTATGTTTTAATTATTGCATGATTATATGATATTCTTAATAGAAATTTTTATGATAATATTGTGTAAATAAATAAAATGATTAGAATTGATTGATTTGTATGATAAAAAATCAGTTATGATTAAGGCTTAGAAAAGATAATATATACTTAATATGATCCTAATTTTAGGTATAATAAAATGCTAAAACCTTCTTTGAATGTAATCGACTTTTAAATTTTAATTTTATTGATGTAAATCAAAATTTAATTTTTTTAGAGACATTTAATTTACAATTAGGATAATTTTAAAAAAATAAATTAATATAAGTGATTAATTACATCTAAATAAAAAAATTGATAATAATTTTATATAACTTTTATATTTAATAGATAAATTCTCGAAATTTAAATGTTACCAGTTAGAGAATAAAAATTAAGTTTCGGTCATTCATATACACTACCAAAAAATTTCCTTGCTAAACGTGAAATTTAGAGACCATTCTCTTTCCATCGGAAAAGGTTGGCTGCATTTATTATTGTTACCATTATCTCTTTCTTTCTCTCACTTTGAGGTTAATCAGTAATTAGTGCTTTTTTTCTTTTATGGTGTGTTTTAACATTTTGTATCAAGTTAAATGACTCTTCTCTATGAATCTCTGTTCTCTGTCTTCATCTTTTTTTTTTTAGTAAAGAAAAGATTGTTCTCTATCTCTATCTCTTCCTTTCTTTTCTAGTAAAGAAAAGATTAGTTTTTATTAGGCCAGGGCCCTTCCTGGAAGACACAGACAGTTTTAAGTTTCTTCAAGATTAAATTGGCTTTTTTTAATTGTCGGTGCCGAATTTACGAACCTTTTCTTAAGCTACAAATATGCAACTATTATTTTCAAAGGAGTGTCGTAGTCAAAAGGAAATAAAAAAGTTAGCCATTACTATTATTAGCATAAAAGAAGGACAAAATTTTTTTGCAAACTTAAGCATCACAATTCACAAAAATGTGAAAAAAGGAAAATTATATTTGTGTATCCCACTTCTTAAATCACAAGAGAAAAATAAAAACAAAATGGAAAAATCTTAATTTCACCATTGGCCAAGTTATCTTAACCAACGGCTGTTCACCAAAAGACCCCAACTTTGCAATTAAGAATCAGATATCGTCCAAGTCATATCATTCTCGAAAATCCAGTGACAAACCTCGATCCGACCTGGACCTGAACCCAATGCCAAGAAAGCTCCATGACTTGAACTCCAACTAGATGTATCTAAATGACATATGGCAACACCGTGATTAATCTTCTCCCTTGAATTTGGATCCAGAATATCCGCTTTATAGACCCGGACCTTTGGAACCGAGTGGCAATAGTAAAGTAAATACGGGTACAAACTCTGGTGACAAGAAACAGATTTCGTCACTTTCCCACCGTTGATTCCTCTGACCGTTCCTATCTTTATATTTTGCTTTGACCCATTAACGTTTTCCGTCGTCCGAACCTCCACTTTACGCCCCAGAACCGAGGTGGCGAAATCGATCATGTCCTCGGCCGAGCCCACGCAGCGCTTGGTCTCGCCAGGGCTCGGTGCTCGCTCGCACTCTTTTAAAGCGTTCAGCATTATGGTTTCCAGGGTGCAGTTATCCCCCGCGTGGAAAATCTGTTTCAGTTCACCAATCTTGGAGGACGAAAACGGTAATTTAGAAAGAATAGTGCGGGGCAGAAACGACCTTTCAGGCATTTTATCCCTAATGTCCGGCATCGGCATCACCGTTCCTCGCTTCAACATCTTTTCCCGGAAGAATTTGCCCGGCTCCACCCATTTATTCACAGCACTGCCACTGGCCTCAACTTGAGCAGTTTCAGCGGAACTCTCATTGTTGTATCGACCAAAAGTTACGCCCTTTTTAGTATATTCCTTAAAAGTGGTGTTTCTTCCATAGATCTTGAACTCAATGGATTGGCCTACGGCTCCTTGGCCATATCCAGTGAATTTATCGGTTCCTTCATTAAAAGATTGGCCGTAGTTGTGAAAATCAACTTTCTCCCCATTAGAATTCTTGGCATAAGATTCGAAAGAATCGTCACCCACATTGGAATGGTCACGGTAACTTGAGAAACTTTCAACCGCCGCATTGCCTCCGTCTCCATAACTCTTGAAATTATTTTGTGGAACATTAGAATCGAAACCGTACGAAGTGAAAGTGTCATTAGCCCCATTGGCTGATTCTCCATAACCAGAAAAACCAGACCCCACCACATTCGCTCCTTTCCCGTAACTACTAAAGTCGTTAGGAACTCCGTTACCGGTTTTACCGTAACTCGAAAATGACTGCCCCCTCCCGGCGTTGGCGTTCTCCGTGTACCACGTGAATGTCTGTCCTCGTCCATTGGAATCATCGGAATACGAGGTGAATCGGAGATTTGGGTTGTTGACTTCACGGTTGTAGTTGTTGAAGTTTCCGGAGTCGCTTGTGGCAGCGCCTCCGTAGGAGTTGAAGCTCTGGTCAACGACGTTGGATTCACTGGCGTAATTAGAGAATTGGTCATTGTGACCAGCGGAGTCCCGGCTGTATCGGCGAAACGAGTCGACAATAACGTTGTCGCCTTCTGAGTAGTTTTTGAAAGAGTCGACCCCATCGAGTCGATCCGTGCCGTAATTGGTGAAGTTCCTGTTGGCATAGACGGCAAAGTTTACGTCTTTGGGGTGTTTCTCGAGACTTGGAGATAAATCAGGGAAGCAAAAGAGTTTAGCGGATGAACAAAAGGAAGGCAGGCGGGCAGCTAGGTCGTTTTGGGCGGCGAGTTTGGAAAAACGGGCCGAGTCGACGGCAGTTAATGGGGAAGCTTTGGAGAGTAAAAAATGGGTTTTGGGGATTTCATTGCGGATCTCTTTGTTCCAGTAACGAATCAACGATGCTTTTGGAGTAAATGGGTTTTCCGACACTGAGGAATCACCGACATCACCGAAAATAACCTGCATTACCCGAAAATAATTAAAAAAAAAACGTCTTACAAAAGTTTCAATTAACATATAAAAACAAGAAATTGTAACCATAAAACTAAAAAAAAAAAAGATTTGCTTACGTTGAAGGATGAGAATTGAAGAAAGCAGAGGAAGAGAAAAGCCCAGAGATTAAGCATTTTCTGGGTTTTTTGTTTTCTTTAATTTGCTACAGAGGTAGAGAGGGAGAGAGAATGTTGGTACGTTTGTTTGGTTGTCTTGGAAGAGAAGAATATATAGAAAGAAAAAGAAAGGAAGAAAGTAACGGTTGCGGAAGACAGTGATGAGGTTTGACAATGGAGGCTTTGCTCATAATCTGTTTTATTCTTAATTTTTTCACTGTACTAAATACTCTTCAGTTCCTTTTTTCTATTTTAATTTAAAGGGGTTGAAGGGATTTGTTTTTTTGAAGAGACGAACCTTACTCCAATACGGAAAAGCGATAAAGACTATGGAATAAGAAAAAGAGAAGCACCAAACAAAGTCATCACATGCTTTAAAAAACATTTTCATTTTAACTTTTTTTTTTCATTTTTTTTTTCGGAGAGCCAATATTCTTTTCAGATCTCTCTTTGTATTGTTAATAAAGAAATACAACATATATAACTTGTATTTACATAAATTTTGATGAGGCAATTTCTTGATAAATTTTTATTGTTAGTAGATTTTATAATTTTAAATATAACATGATAATTAATATAAAATATATAAAATATAATTCAATTAAAAAATTTTAATAAAAATTATATATAAATTTAATAAAAAATATATTTTATATTTTATATTTGATGTATAATAATTTTTATATTTTACATATATTTAACATGATCAAATGTTATATAAATATACGAATTATCATATCTAAATAATAACGGATAGTATAATTATTATTCTAATTGTAAAAATTAATGGATTTTTTATAGTCAAAATTGTGTTTTTCTTCTCTTCATGTCAAAATTATGTTTAAAGACTGAGAATTTATGTATAAGGCTTAATAGTTGTAAATAGAGAGTATATTTTAATTAAAATTAAAATAAATCCCTATAAAACCAAGGTTAGAATTGAAGTAGTAACCATCTTTGAATATCTAAGGGTAGACTAAGTTCGTGTACCTGAAAATATATGATGAGATCTAGTAAAAGTAATAAAACTTTTGATATTAGTCAAATATGTATAGTAGTAGATTGTATTTCTTAATATTTCTTCAAGTAAATGAACTATATTTGATTTTTAGGGAGTTAAAAAAAAAAAAAACTATGACTTTGCTTTTATATTAAAATTTTTATTTTTTAATAAAATTGGTGTTTTTATCATTTTTAATATCAAAAGTAAAATGTTTATAAAAATTGAATTATAAAGAAATAAGAACATTAAATGTTCATTAAAGGAAAAGAACAAAATTTTTAAACATTTCAAAATAAAAAAAGTTATAAGGAAAAGAAAAGAGAAAGTATACATTAATTAAAATTTTTACACTAAAGTATTGCTGCCTAGAAAATATATGCTAATATCTAAAATATTAAATGCAAAACAGTAAAATTTTATGAAAGTATTTTTTTGTCGTGTTTACATAAATAATTAAAATTTAAAGTTTAAATACAAAACACTCAAAATTAAACTCTACGATGTTTTGTTGATAGGTGATTTATAAGTTATTAAAAATCCTAAAAAAAATTCATAAATCTTTTCGTGGGTTGATGACTTGCATAACCTTAGAGATAAGATAATCTTTCTTATTTTTTATTTTTTTCTTTGACTAAAAAATATACAAAAGTATTTTTGAGAACCTAAAATATTTTTTAGAGTTATAATTTAAATTCCCTCACAAAATTTTCTTAAAACAAAATTAAATAGTAAATAAGAAAATAATTAAAGAGAAAAAGCTTGAAATTAGTTGGTGGGATTGCCATTCCCAGTGCAGCAGCAAAGCCAAGTGAGCTCTAACTCTTTGGTAAAAACAGAGCATGTAAGTGTGAAGTACGTACCAACACTGGAAACCGCGTGGAGTGGCGGTGGCCGTTGCTTATTAGGTGGATATTTGACGCGTTTTTTCAATTAATTTTTGTTGTTGTTTTTTTTTTATATGTTTACCTAAAGTTTTAGAATTTATTTTTGTCTTAATGATTTTTTTTCGTGATTCCTCTTCCCAACACGCATTCCTTGAATCGTTAACAAAGCTCCCGTGAAACCGTAATTCCATGGACGATATAGGGTTAATTAAGGAAGGTTAAGGGTGATTTTTTTTTCTAATGTCATTGATCATGAGTGAGACAAAATCTTGATTTGCTAGGGAAAAAAAAGAGGCTTTGATTTAACTAATCTTTTAGTTATTGTCTGGTTTAAAAAAGAAAGAAAAATGTGAAAATATCACTTAAGAATACCTTTGTGTGGAATAGTATTGTTGGGAATTGGCTGCTTTGAGTGCTATCACTGTACAATCTCATGTCAAAATTTAGTTTACTTGTCCACTGAATGCGGATATATTTGATGTATGATGGAATTGGAAATAATGATAGTAATCAAATTAATTATTATGTCAATAAAATTAAATATTGTATTTATAAAATTAAAAATAATAATAAAAAAATATGTATTTAAACGTAGATATAATAGTGATGAAAAAATTAAATAATGTCAATGATTGTCATAATTGAAAACTGTTCTATATTTCAATTTTATGTTAAAAAAGTAGACTATCTTAAAGTACAAGAAATCATTCAATCATTCTCCTTCTAGTCTCCAATAGATAGAACAGTACAGTTGAAAACCCTTAACAGCATCGTTGATGCACTACTTAAATGCACCTTCTAATATAATCAGAGAAAAAAATATTGAACGCTATCACAGCGAGAGTGACATAAAATTCAAATGCACCCTAATACTTGAAAAAATTCCCAATTTGCATCTGTCATTAACCCTAACTCCACTTTTGCTTTCCACTACAGCCACATACTAATTTTATCTTGATTTGATAGCTCATTATTTTTGCATGACAGATCTTCCTTTATAGCTTCTTCGTAATATAATTACCTAAGTTAATGAAAATAACAAGCGACCAAACATGAGAACTTGGCTTCTATCCAAGTACACAAAAAATTGAACTTAATTACCCTCTTTTTCTAATAAAAATCCAATGCTACAGATTAATCTCTTAATTCTCTCACATTAGGATACAATGTGTCGCTCCAAGGTGTTGTTGTTGTTGGTTTTTTTTTTTTTTAATTATTTTAAAGAAAGGTGTTGTTTATTAGAATAATAACGAGGAAGTAGTTCTAGCAAAATCATAAATTAAAGCATCCATCATTTGCACCCAAAAAAAAAAAAAGCCTCCATCGTTAAAATACATTTATAACTGAAATTGTTTATATAGGAGGATTATATAAAGGATAAGATAGTTTTTTTTTTTTGTTTTTACTTTTGTGCTTGGCATTTGTTTATTTTTGTGAAAAATATACATTGATTTAGTTTTAAAATTTGTATTTATACACAAGTTGACCCTTCATAAATAAGATTAATCTCACTTCTAAATTATTCACTAAAAAATTATCACATTATGAGGGATAGTCGAAAGACAAAAGCTGTGAATTTTGAATCTCATATCAAAACTATTTCATTCTTTTCCATTAAATTAATTACTTGCTAAATTCTATTTTTCATATAAAAGATGTTGCATTTTGAAAATAAAAAAAATTATAAATGTTAGAATTTAAATTTCAAATGTGACGAATGCCACCGTAATTATCTAAAATAATAAAAAGGTTCTACTTACTAAATTCTTGCTTGAAGGCTCATGTTAGCAAATTATATTGGCAAAAGGAAAGAAAAGATTTTCATCAATAATTAAAATGGATGCACTAATGTGAAAATGATGGACTGGACCATAATTTCATTTATAATAAGTGTGGGATTTTGGAATTAAGGTAAGTTTCCATTAATGTTCCAATAGATTTCAAATTAAAGTAAATCCCCAATGCCCAAAACGAAGAAATGAAAATCGAAAAATTTAATATGCATTGGAGAATTTTTTTTTTTTTTGTAATATCAGGTGAGCAAAGCTCTAGTACGAGTAAAGGAAAAAGGAGAGACCTGGCTTAAAACCAAGCCTTTGATATTCCTTCAAACACCTTTAGCTGTTAGAAAATTATTTTGCTTTCCCTCTATATGTAGTCGATCTGTTAAACCTCAATTCTGAGACATCCAAGTTAGTATTTTTCTTCATCAATCATCATCCATCCATATACAGCTTAACTAAGAGTGAGTATTCCACAAACAGAAAATACCTAGTTCCCCTTGGTTATTTAAGCTCTTCTTCTTTACTCGGAAAAATAACTAAAGAGAAGAAATGCTTGCAACAATTTTTTTTTTTATTATTTAGAAAAACAGAGATTGGAACCTTATTCTTTGAGTAAGGTTCATACAATAACCACTAGCAAAATGCTTCATTGCACAACTCTATTATTATATATAAATTAAGGTAAAATGAAGGGTGTTTTTTAATGTTAAAATGTTCAAATAGTCAGAATATGAAAACATTATTAAATCATTAACCTTAAAGTTTGAAGTATTATATATCGAACTATTATCTAATACACCATAAGTATAATTTTTAAACTTCACCGATAAAGTTAAAGGGTTGATATATATCTTTTTAAGATGTATTTAAAAAAATAAAAAATAAATATAATAAAAAAGAATATATGATTATTTTGTAATTTTGTTTATCAAATTTAAAAACTTCATTGATGATATATGAAATAATAATTCAATATATATTTTTGTCTACCCATTTTGGGATTTGAACTATTTAATTAGCATTTTTGTGTAAATTAAGAGTATTATGTTTTTTTTTTCTCACACTTTCCTACTGTTGTTAGGAGTAAAACTGACAAATAAAATTGCATGACACCGATGGATTGAAAAATGATCAACGATTTTTTTCTTGTATATAGAAAATTGTATGGTAATGTACCCAAAAAATCAAAGAAAAGAAAATTGTGTGGTTGCAGGCTCATCGCGGGCTCATCATTATCCTTCTGCACCACGTACATATGGGAACCTAAATCGGATAAAATTAGTATATGGGATGTTTATAAAAATTTTAATCTTCTTTTAATTTATAAAATTCTTATTTATCTTAACTCATTTGAGAACACTACTTACTTAAATATTATCGAATTTATAATTTTGAAAAACCTCATCAATATACATATCATTTAAAATAATGTTCAATTGACTAAAAGAATTAAATATTTATTTATTTTCATGACCGAAAC